AAAATTGGCATAGTCCCCAATAAAACTGTCACATTTATTTTCTTCTTTCAATCTATTAATTAGAATAGAACGGTTGCTGACAGAACACTTACTTTTACTCACAACAGAAATTGCAGAGAATATCGTAAATATATAGAAAAGATGTAAGGATTACAATCCTATGTGTAATAAATCTAATAATGTGAAAAATCAACAAAATTTTATAAAAATTTATAATGTTTATTATCGGATTGCTTTTTCAAAATGATCGATGAAAATATCATTGTTAGGTATTTGACCTTTAAACAATGAAATGGTTAAAACACTATAACCCCTTGAATTTGTGACACATGTTGTTATTTACTTTATTGTAATTAATTCTGTTTTTTAATTTGAACCAAAAAAATTGATCTAAAAAGGTTTACTTTGTACCGCGTAAAAATTAGCAATATGAAAGTGATGAATAAATTCTGTGAATAGAACTGACCGCTGGGATGACCCACACATGTACCTTCGATTTCTTACTAGGTATGTTATGTAGCTCACTATACTAAACAAGTATCTAACACTTGCATGTATGCATATTTGTCACAGTTTTCAAAATTGAAAAAATTGAAAATCAAAACTTAGGTATAGAAAATACCACAAATGGCGCGGTAAACGCCATCTGTAGTACGACGCTACATTTTAGGATTACGTATGCTCCAACAAGGTCCATTTAAATATACGGATACCTACTTGCTGAAACGAATCGAAGTGCTCTGTATTCTGTCGAATTATTTTATTCGATTATGGTAACGTGCCTATCACGTTGAGATTAGCTACGCCGGGATTCGTTTCAGCAAGTACATATCCATATATTTAAATGGTCCTTGTTGGAGCGTACGTAATCCTAAAATGTAGCGTCGTACTACAGATGGCGTTTACCGCGCCATTTGTGGTATTTTCTAAAACGCGCTGTGCAGACAGCAGGTAAGAGTTGGTCTGTGTTCTGTAGGAGCTGCCTGCGACGCGCTGATGAGATCCAAAAAGATCGAAATCGCGATCCGCGTCTGCCAGTTTCGAGAGAATACAGACCACTTCGAATTGTTTTATTAGTTAGGTATACATACAATCCTAATTACTCAGCCGATCTACATGAAATGTTGTTCACACGTCAGGGACAGAGAAAAGGACATAGCATACTTTTTATTCAGAAATAAATACCGTTCCCAAGGGATAGCTGTGAGGTCGTCACTGATCTTTAACATCTATTTAGGACAGGTTAAAGCTGGTAGCAAATAATTTAATGTCATTAAAAAAATATCTATTTGAAAACATCCCCTGAAAAGAAAAGATTAAAATCCAATCGTAAATTAGATGAGTAATTTCAGATGATCGTTAAAATGTGTTATGCATAATTATATATTTTTCAATAAGGTAAAGAAGACCGAATCCTAATACAACCAGTCTCTTATCTGCTACCATTATATTTTTGTCGTACATTCCTTGCTGATCATTCCTACATAAATCGTTCAACCTTGCATGAATTATAATAATTATTGACAAATGTTTACGTGAGGATAATAGGCGATTTCAATTTTATCCCTTTTTAACTGCCTTTATTCCAGTCATTAATACTTTTGATTATCGTTAAGCAATACAGTGTGGCCTCTGCTACACCTAACCGTCCATTAAATGGTGTAATTTCACTTACCGAGCCACTGCAAATAGTTAAACGTGCTGTAAGTGCATCCTGTCGGATGAAAATAATTGCAACATTAACTTTTACTTGTACACCTTTTTTAGAAGCAAACGTACAAATTGCACGGTTCATGGTGGTAAGACTGTATCTTTATTTTTCGTGAAAAGTCTAAATGAAACATGTATCTATCGTATATGAGACGACAATAATAAACGATCATTAGAACGCACTAATAAGTTATAATAAGTAACTAGTCCCGGAGGACTATAAACGGAACGTAGTAGTAGCCGTACCTAAAAGAAGCGGCGCTACGGGATATACTTTTAGAACAATTAGCTTGCGTCAAAAATCTTAACTAGAATCGTAGAGAGAAGAATGGAAAAAAGGGTGGAAGAACCATTAGGGGAAGACCAATTTGGGATTAGGAGAAATAGAGGAACGCGGGAGACCACTCTAGTTTTACGGGCAACGACAGAGAAGACGATAGAAAAAGGAAATAGCGCGTAAATAGGATTCGTAGATTTAGAAAAAGTTTTTGACAATGTTAAACGCGACGAGATGTTAATCATACTTAAAAATGAAGGGATGAGATACAGAGATAGAAGAGATACATAGTTTGTATAAAGAGCAATAGGCAGTTATAGAGATTGAGCAGCAAAGTTGAGAAGCATTAAATATTAGGAAGGCAAGGAAAAGACAATCTGTACATCGAAGACGCGTTCACCATCATTAAAGTCAGGACAGCTTTAGGGACAAATATGTAGAGGCAAAATACGAGGGTGGATTGATAAGTTTCCGGCCTAACCAAGAGATGACGCCACTAGGCCTACCTTGAGGTGACATTCTATAGTACCATCCTTGGATAGCTTGTAGCTATAGTTTCAGCCCGATCTCCTTGCTAGTGTAGGTTTGACAGCACGCTGAACAAGACGCCTCTGTGGTTTTCGTAAAAATGGAAAAGCAGGAAAATCGTGCTGTCATCAAATACTTTTATTTGAAGGGGTTAACGCCGAAGGAAATTAAAAAAGAGATGGACTCAACACTGGGGACATCCTCCCCGTCATATTCAACCGTTAAGCAGTGGGTTTCCGAGTTTAAAAAGGGTCGTGTGAGCACCTCTGATGGGCCTCGCTCAGGACGCCCCGTTGAGGTCACAACTCCAGATATGATCGAAAAAATTCATCAAATAGTGCTGGGAGACCGCAGATTGAAAGTGCGTGAGATAGCTGAGACCTGTAAGATGTCATATGAACGTGTGCAACATATTTTGCACCAACATTTGCATATGGAAAAGCTCTGTGCAAGATGGGTGCCGCGTTTGCTAACAGTCGACCAAAAATTGATTCGAAAAAACATTTCTACCGCAAATTTGTCATTGTATAAGCGTAATCCAAGCGAATTTTTGCGTCGATTCGTAACCGTTGACGAAACGTGGGTCCACCACTACACTCCTGAAACCAAAGAACAGTCTAAACAGTGGATTGGACCAGGGGAACCAACTCCAAAGAAGGCAAAAACAATTTTTTCGGCGAACAAGGTTATGGCTACTGTTTTTTGGGATGCAAGAGGTATTATATACATTGATTA